AATGTCTGCAAAGGAACATTGGGCTCCAATGACTTTCATTTAAAAAAGCACCAAGATTATCTTGTCATAGTGATTTGCAAACAGTTTTATTTTTGAGCAAACTATCCCTTTAAGAAAAAAAACAATTCATCCATTAACATTAATGTTCTTAAACTGACTATACTAACCCAACAACACTTGAGGTCATGTAAAAAGGTTAACCAAACAGACGAGGACATCGACAAGCATGTGTAATAAGTGACAGAGAAGAATCATCACGGCAGATTTAAGTGCACAGACTATTTCTTGACCCATGAAGCAATAAGAAAATATGTTCTCATCTCATGCACACACAGGACAAGTGGTAGTCATAGAAACTTCAAATATGGGAGGAAAATGAGTCTGTGCAAGTTTACCTCTGAGATTTAATGCTGTATTTAACATCACAATTCACATAACAAATGGAACACTCTGATGAGAATCCATGGATGCTTGCTTTTTGATATAACCATGGGGAAATGGGACGATTTTACAATAAAAATCTACACAGTTTAAGCTGTCAAGTCATCGTTTTGCATTTAAATCAGTAAAACGGGCTATTTCAATGAACTGATATCAGAACATATGTGACGAGTTTTTACTGACTTCTGTCTAGAGTCCATTTGGGGGATTTCAGGGTGTTTGGAGACCCAAGGAAGGAAAGCCTGAACGGCTTCATTTCTTTTCATTCTTTCACAAGGAGCTTAGAGCCATTTCAATTACCTGCGGTTGTGCCATTTCATATTAAACAGAACGCAAGTCCAATTCCATTTCAATCACTGGGCACTTGGGAATTTAAGCAATAATGACTAAATCTGTAAACAGGACAGTCTCACTCTGAACACAGCATCCAACCATAACACCTGTGGTGGGCATGGTGTGAATACAAATAAAAATGGCCAGGCGCAATTACATGAACGGGCAGCTTTTACCAGTGAGGCTCTTTCCAAGGCTCATGGCTCAGTGAGGTGGACCGATGATGAAAATTACCCTTTTAGACCATTTGTCTGCTCCATGTCAATATTTTGGTTAGAAGTCAGACATAAATCATAGGCTTTGAATAGGTTTTAAATAATAGTTTTCACCACCTATAAATATGAATATTCTCCAATCATTTACTCACTCTAATGCCTTTCCAAACCTGTTCCTCGGTGAAACCACTTCAAACAATAGAGTGCATTTTCCTGAATATTTCCCATTTTTATTGTTATCTGAAATGTGCTGCCTCACATTCCAAAGCAACTTGCAAAATGCAATTAACATCAAGAAAGCAAAGCACATGCACACATTTGTATTGGTGTTGAATGAGAGTGAAACTCTGTGTAGCGCATTTCCCACAAACCATTAGTCTTAGGTTCATTTCAAAAATATTTGTTTAGGCTTGACTTTTATAATAAATGTTGTTTACAATGAACACTGATAAAGGTTCTATTTTAATTTAGTTTTCTGTTGTAAATTCTGTCAAGTTTAAAGCATTTGCAGAGAAGTGATTGAAAGTGAAAGATGTTTAATATGCTTTCTTTCGTATTGTTGTTTATTTTGTGATTAAAGTTTGTTAATTGCTTCTCTCTATGCGTTTTTTTTTCCCTATCTTAGCTATAGAATTTTGACGATGTGCAACTAAAGCCAGGCTTACAGGAGTTTTGGGCCAGTTAACCTTTGATTTACCCCTATGACATTCTTAAAATATATCTTGTGCAGGACAGGCAACAACATGGCTGCCTGTTTAACACAACATAAGCTCATTCTGAAAATGTAGCCCTATATACATTTTAAGAGATTGTGAATTATGTACCCAGAGATACGTATGGCTGCATTGCATCTTTAAAACGAAGGCTACGAGGCGTATGATGCAGTTACTTTTCTCGCTTACCAGCTGACCGATTACATCCATATGGACAGCTTTTCTGCTGTTATCAGTTTGTCTGGTAGCTCATTGAACGTTGTTGACCGCAACAACGGGGTACGAGTCCGGTAAAGAACGGTAAAGAAAGCAGGTATGACAAAAACAAAAGCCAAAAACCAATATAAACAAGTAAATAACAGGGTGACACCCTGAAATCTGAAAACATGGTAAAAATCAGGCTGCCGTAATGGCTTTTCTTTTTCTGCATTGCTTTTAAAAACACTGTGGTTGGATTTATTGAAGCGGGTGCATGGGTCAATCGGTGCTTTTTAAAACACTATTTTTTGGGTTTAGGGAAAGAGGTGGGTGAGGGGGATCAGTTGTTTAGTCTGTCAGTCAGTTGACGGCAGCCTCAAATGAATTTACACGAGAACATCAGGCACGCATGGCACTTGTGAGAGAAATTTGAGATCTGAAAAAGGCGGAGACAAAGTGGCCTCTAGCAGATGCACAAAAACAAAAACTGCAAAAAAACGTAGCTCCTGTGACGTATTTTGCTCTCTCCAGATATGTATAAAGGGGTAAATAATCAGTATAAGCCTGAATTCGTTTAACATGCTGTGGAAAAAGTACCACAAGTATATCAACAAACTGAGGACCTGAGGAGAAATCACCTCAGTTTTGACTGTGCCAGGGGAATGTAGAAAGCTACTAGTCTCAGCTTCATGCCCGTGGATTATTGGCTGGATATCTGACACATATGGCACACTTGGAAGGGCCCTTCAAATCATCCAAATCTTCCTCCTCAATAACCATCTCTGTTTCCAAGCCTGGCTGACTGTGTGTCACAATTTGGAAGGTTTCCCTAATGATCCAATCCTGCAGGTTGTTTGACCCATATGACATTTTTATGGAAGATCAAGTAAAATATCTAAACAAGAAGGAGATATCGGCTACATTTGTGAGGGGGAAATGAAGTTAAAATAGAACCTAGACAGTTTAGTCTTTAGACGAATTGTTGGGAGTCAAATGTGTAGAAATATTATGGAAGTCAAAAATGTATAATTTTTATGGTTCATCACAGTGCAAATGAGGACAATTTGGTATAAGTTTAGTAACAGACCATAACTGATAATGATTTTCTGATGGTTTTCTGATGTCATTTGTTATGGAACTATATTATAGCAAGGGAGGCGAGATGCATGTGTGAGTAATAAAATGTGCTAACTACTTTAAAAACCTACAATGGGGCAGACACTGCTTTTCGAGTTTGCTGGGACAGAATTTTTCTGAAACTGACAGTACAGTGGAACCCAAATTTCCCTTAAACACTTAAAAAACTCTATCGCTCCAACTCTCTGACCATACACTGAACATTTCGTTATCACGTAACTGATGTTTGATACATTAAAGAAGTGTGCTTTCTTTGAGCAGGTAAAATTAAAGCTTCAGTTCATATATCTGACTGTTTACACTTAAAGAAAAAATTTTATATATTTAAAGTCAAATTAATATTTAAGGGGTGACACGGTGGCTCAGTGGTTAGCACTGTCACCTCACAGCAAGAAGGTCGCTGGTCCAAGCTGGGTCAGCTGGCATTTCTGTGCGAAGTTTGCATGTTCTCCCCGTGTTGGCGTGGGTTTCCCCCACAGTCCAAAAGATGTGCTGTACGTGAATTGAATAAACTAATAAAGTGTATGTGTATGAATGAGTGTGTATATATAGTGTCCCAGTACTGGTGTGCAGCTAAAAGGCCATCCGCTGAGTAAAGCCGAAGGAAAATAAATAATATTTAAGGATGCATCGTATTGTCTATTTACACTGATGCATCGTGATATTGAATTAAATCTATGACAGGATAACAGTAATCAAACAGAACCGCTAGACCAGTATAGAATAGGTGCACACCCCTAATGCTGATGACCACAGGGCAAATATTGGGTAATATTGCCGGGTATGATGTTGTTTGGCTATTCTTTGCCCTTATTAGTTATAATGTGTCTCACCTACAATGTGTCACACCAACTATGCTTAAAAAAGTTGCCCTGAAATATGCTACAAACAAATGTTTACTGTGAGAGTCTTATTAAGTAATGCTGTCAACAAAGTGTAAATCATTTTAATAATTATAATAAAAATTTGTTATAATGCTTTTCGAAGCACTCAAAGTTCTTTAAGGGAATCTCCTCAACTGTTATACAACAGTAAGAAATGTTATTTTTGGTTTAAAAGCAGAGTATTTTTAATGGAAAGTGTGTATTAACGCATAAAATACCCTACAAAATTGTTTTATAATTAAAATGTTTTTGTATTACATTTTTTCCGCTTTTCAGAGACTGATGAGCAATTGTTGTTGTAAAACTTTGCGATGTTTGTGAAAGAATGATTTGTTAATGGATGTGATAACTGTGTGTCCGCTTCTAGCGGTAAAAATGTCTTAATTCATTTTTTTAAATCACACTTCATAAAAATAGACTGCAGAACCACTTTGATTGACATTCTCTCTTTGTACATGCCATCAGAGAGGAAAAGTCCCATTAGAGATGATCCATCTCTCATACTGTAGCATAAACTACCCTGAGTGAGAAGCAGCCATCCGCCACTGTGCCTGCTGAAGATAATGCCAGTGACTAAGAGGATTATTAATGTTGAGCTTTAGGATGCACAAACGAAAACAGTAGTCTCCATAGACTACCTTCTTCTAAGCCACTTCTTGTTACATTCACATTTTTTCCACAGAGATAACAGTCCTGCTTTGAATCTGCCGCTATGCTAAAGCAATGTTGTTTGTAGCTCTGCCATTTAAATTTAAAGCGACAGTCAACAAAATGGATCAAAACAGGCATATTAGAAATATTTATGGGATATTTTGAACTTAAACTTCAAATATACACTAAAGGTACATAATAGGAGCCTAACAGGTCCCCTTTAAATGGTGCTTTTGTGTCCTTTTTGATGCTTTAAAATTCCAGTACTCATTCACTGCTACTGCGCTGACAAAAATGACTAGTGCAATCTCCCTTTTGATATCCATAAAGAAAATATAGCAAGTCGTAATAGTTTGTGTCTACATAAAAAAGGGTGACAGAACTCTTATTTCTGGATCAACCATCCTATTAACAGGCTGCGTTCCTACCTGTGTTTATCTGTCTGTTAGGTCCTCTCATCATGTAGCTGAACTCTTGGCAGCTCGCGCTCTGGCTGAGGCCTCCAGACCGAAAGCACAGTTCCTCCACCAGCACCATGGCCCTCTTACAAATGTCGTCATCCCAGTCCCCCGACATCCTCCAATCCGCATCGCACACCAGCCTGCACTCAACCAATCACGCCGCAGCCCTCACCGTCCACACCAATAGGACGGCGCCCGAGGGGAGAGAGTGTGTGTCTGGCCACTTTCTACCGTAGGTTCCCGATCAGACGTGGATTCTGAAGGACAACTTTTCAGCAAGAGACGGTCTCTTTATGACCGTTAATTGAAAGCTTTAATGTTTGTTAAACCCATCGGTAAGCGAGCCACAACCGCTCTTTTCAGTAATAACATCGGCTCCTGAGGGGGGAACAGAAAAGAAAGAATGAGAATAAGACAATGCACACATTAATGAAGCTAAATTAAAAGAGTGAGACATCCATTACTGAGCTGTTGCTTTTGTGCACATACTTGTTATAAAGGATGACAATGACATCCCTGAGTCCTCGTCATGGTGAAGAAGGTCAAACTGGATTTGATTCACAGAAACGTTTGGAATTTTCTTCAATGGATAAACAGCACGACTATATTTAGGTCTGTTGTTCAGAAAGCATAGCCTAGATTTCCTGGGCTATTACTCTGAGTTAAATCATCAGTCAGGGAAGAGGAAGTGTTTGCAAGCTCAGTCCTTAAAGCAGCATCAGGGCAGGGTTGAGTCTGTGACGTATGGTGTAATTCCACTTTGTTTTTTTCCATTCAAGTTCACTTAATGTTCGCTGTGGTCCATGGCTGTATTTCTGGAATGTTCTACAGAAGCTTTGAAACAGCCTGAAAGAAAAAGAGGCAGAGAGAGAGAGAGAGAAGTGTGTGTGAGAGAGAGAAAATGAGGCACACATCATTATAAAAAACTGCTGTAAAATTATGGTTAAATTATAAAGGCAACCCGCTGAGTGCACAGAGCTCAATAGCACGCAGAGAAGAACCGTTCATTCTGGATATCCATTTCTTCCCAAAGACAAACATCTCTGCTCATACAGTGCATCTCGGGAACGAGGATGTGGTCAACCACAAAACAAGTTTATCTTGTAAGCTGTTGTTGCTTGATACTCAGCAGATTAAAGGTGAAGTGTAATTTCTACTTTATAACAATGCTGAAATTGCAATGTTAATTTGAGCTTCCGAACACACTGGCTTGACCAGTAGTGTCAGATTGGGTGGGGTTTAGGTAGGTTTTTAATTATCTTTTTTTACCAATTATGTTTGCTTTTAAGATTAAGTCAATCTCTTTACAATTTATGTCCCCAAATAGAGTTGCATGATTGAGATCAGATTAACTGACAACCCCAAACTCACACTAATAGTTGTTTCAATTACACATTTTCACATATTTACATATTTTCATCTCTATAGCGCTTTTACAATGTAAATTGTGTCAAAGCAGCTTAACATAGACATTCTAGTAAACTGAAACTGTGTCAGTCTAGTTTTCAGAGTTGAAGTTCAGTTTAGTTTAGTTCAGTGTGGTTAAATTTTACTGCTGAAAGACCAAACACTGAAGAGCAAATTCATCGATTCACAGCTCTACAAGTCCTAAACCAAGCAAGCCAGTGGCAACAGTGGCAAGGAACAAACTTCACTAGTTGACGAAAGTGAAAGACAAAAAACCTCAAGAGAAACCAGGCTCAATTGGGCAAGACCATTTCTCCTCTGGCCAAACATAAATCTGAGATGTGATACATTTTAATATAGTTTTCTAAATATTATATACACAAATGTTCATCTAAAAATTGGGGTTAGTGGAAGTTATTTTTGATGTTTGGGGTCAATAAGACTGTTTATTATCAACAAGTCCCCCTATATTTTATATTTATTTATTATACCTTAATGTTATTTTAATTGTAATAGCATATTAAATTACAGAAATACAGTACAATGAAAAAACATTCAAACACAACAAATAATTATCACAAAGTTTGGAAAAGCTGAAGGTCCTGTTACATGAACTTTGCTGATTTGTTCAAACGATGACGAGGGGTGCTCCGGTTTCTTCCACAAGTCCAAAGACATGCTGTAAAGGTGAATTGGGTAAGCTAAATTGTCCGTATAGTGTATGTGTATGAATGAGTGTTTCCCAGTGATGGGTTGCACCTGGAAGGGTATGCGCTGCATAACAACATATGGATTGTTGGTGGTTCATTCTGCTATGTTGACCCGTGAATAATAAAAGGAATATGCCGAAAAAGAAAATGAATTAATGAATAATCATTATCATAAATGCAAAACAAATGTTGTGATTCTTAATATATTTGTGGAAACTGTTTCCCTTTTTGAGGATTCTTTGTTGAATAGTAAACATAGAATTAGAAAAAAAATAGGCCGATAAACAATATCATATCGAATCGCAATTAAATTGATGTCAACAACGATGATAAGCTGTGGACATTCATTCCATCATTCATTTTCTTTAATCTCTTTATTAATCTGGGGTCGCCACAGCGTAATGAACCACCAAATTATCCAGCATATTTTTTACACACTGGATGCCCTTCCAGCTGCAACCCAACACTGAGAAACATCCATACACTCTCATTCACACATACACTACGGGCAATTTAATTTATTTAATTCACTTATAGTGCATGTCTTTGGACTGTGGGGGAATCCGGAGCACCTGGTGGAAACCCACGCCAACACGGGGAGAACATGCAAACGCCACACAGAAATGCTAACTGACCCAGCAGAGGGTTGAACCAGTGACCGTCTTGCTATGAGGCCACATCGCCACTCACTGCGCCACCGCGCCACCCAGCTCTGGACATTTTTTATCTATATTAATCTAAGAGCCAAATACACTGTAGAAATCAGCATAAATCTGAGTCATGTGTAATCTGTTTAAGTTAATAAATATTTTAAGATGTTATTTAATGAACCCTCTAGTTTTAGTAACTTCGGTCATTGCTGGGATACTCTTTTAATGCTGGAAGCATTAACAGCTTTTATCGAAATATATATCGTTATTGTTTAATATGGAAAATAATTATCAAGATTGCATTTTTGCCATTTCGCCCAGCCCTAGTATAAAAATAATAGTGTTTATTTGACATTTTATAGCAGTATTATAAATCACAATCATTGAGTCCTCGCAGAAAAACTAGATTTATTTATGTAAAATCTATTCTAACCCAAATGTTTGAAAGCTAGTTAATAAGTGCCCCTACCAAATTCATTCATTCGTTCATTCATTTTCTTTTTGGCTCAGTCCCTTTATTAATCAGGGGTCGCCACAGCGGAATGAACCACCAACTTCTTCACTATAAGGCCAATTAAGCTTATTCAATTCACCTATAGCGCATGTCTTTGGACTGTGGGAGAAACCGGAGCAGCCGGAGGAAACCCACGCGAACACAGGGAGAGCATGAAAACTCCACACAGAAGTGCCAACTGACCCAGCCGAGGCTCAAACCAGCAACGTTCTTGCTGTAAGGCGATCATGCTACCAACTGCGTCACCTTAGCAAATTCAACAACAAAAATAAAAATAGCATTTGGAAAGACACACTTCACCTTTAAGGTTAACACCCTGTTGTAACGGGGCAACACAACAAGATTCAAGTGACAGGCAATTTGTCTGTCCACACCGAATGTGAAAATAAAGCGTGACACGGCACAATCACACAGCACAGACGATCACAACCATTCTCACAACACGCTGCAGGTGAAGAACATAAACAAAGCAAACAAAAAACACTGTATTTTCATGCTTTGGGCAAACTTTGACATTTCACATGGTGAAGAGGATAAAATCATTCACACAGAAAAGCCAAATATTGACAAAACTGTATCACATCAAGACCACAGAACAAGACATAGTTCATCAATTTGTCATTCCAAGAAACTCGTTGTTAATGATTCGAATAAAGGTCAGATCTACAATAACCAATACTGAATCCAGCACCTTTTTCCATAATGCAGTAATGTTGACTGCAGTAATGAAATGTTCACCATCCAGACTGCTTAATGATTCTTGAGCATCGCTTCACAAATTATGTAATACGATGAACCTAAAACGCACGTTACAAATCTCCGTTTTGATAGCGTTGAGAAAAAAGGTGTTGTAGCGATGCATCTGCTGAGGGCCGTGTGAGTATAATTTGTCAGCATGAGGTTCTGTATCTATAAGATCTCTCAGCGTTCTTCCTTTGTTCTGTGCTCATTCTGTCTCACGGAAACCAGGTCAAAGCTCCACCTTTCATTTCTCTTTCGCTCCGTGTCTCAGCTCTCCTCCAAGTGTTTCTTTCCACCCCTTTCGATCTCTCCTTCATCCCCTCTCTGCGTCAGCTAAATCGTTGCAAGCCTAGAAAAAAGCATGCAAATCTATCAATATGCATATCGATTTAACGACTGTCGGCTTTCATCGGTGAGTTTTTCTAGCTAGCAAAATCCCTCAACGCGTCTGATCTGTTCTCACTCTGACGGGACACCTCCTCTTATTGAGCCGATCGCCCATCTATCATTCTGATAGACTATTCTTTCATGCTTTTCAAGTCTGTAAAATGTCATTGGTCTTTCTTTGTAAGGCGGATGGTTTCTCTCCAGCTAGCTGTATCTTTTCTATCCGTCTTTCCCTCTCCGATCCATCAATCAATCAGTCAAAGCCTTAAGTACAGCGATAAGTCATTTGGGGCAGGACTCAGGTCAAGACGTTCACCCGCACGCTCCTTCAATCCTTCGTTCAGCCCTCTTTCTCAGAGCTGCCTAATCAGCGTGTCCGAGCAGTCTATCAGTCTGGAGCATCATCTAAAGCAAACGCAAACAGATTGATGTCCATTTATCTGTCCATCTCGGATCTTGGTCCGTTGTAAAAAACGAGCCTTAGATTAGCCCATAAAAAAGCACCCCCACCCCCCCTCAAAAACCCTGTCTGTTCTCTTCGCCTGTAAATCTGTCTGAGTTTGACTTAAAAATGCAGCATATCTCAATCTGAAAGATGGCCGTCTGGCAGCAAACTACAGTGTCACCATCCTGAAATGCCAGGTCGATTCAGAACGAAGTTAGAGAGGAATGAAGCAGGTGAAAGAAAGAAAGAAAGAAAAGAGGCAATGAAAGAGAACGGCATAAACTATAAGGCCTGAGATGTAAAGGAAGTCATGTATAGTGAAGGGCATGTGTGCTATAGCATGTGGCCTTGGAGTCCAGACATAAGTGTCTGGATGCTGGTGTAAAAGTCTAGAGGACAGGCATTTACAAGTGATAAGCTGTAATATAACCATACTGGGCGTCACAGCGGCGAAGGGGGTAGCACGATCGCCTCACAACAAGAAGATTGATGGTTTGAGCCCCGGCTGGGTCAGGTGACATTTCTGTGTGGAGTTTGCATGTTCTCCCCGTATTTGCATGGGTTTCCTCCAGTATCACTGTGTGAAAGGGGTTAGTAATACAGGTACATTTCTGGATAATTTTCTGACCGACTTTACCGGTAAATTAAAAAAAGCACTGTTCACACAGGCAAGGACGTTATGAAATATTTCCGGAAAAGACCATTTACACATTCATTCCAAAATACGGGTAAATTCTGTCATCATTAACCAGAAATGAGCTCTAAACAGCAGCGCTTGTATTTGACTACATTACAAAATCTGTGGATGGATCAGTATTATGAACAACTTTGATGAAAACATATGGAGGAACATTTTTCGCATGTCGAGATGTAAATAATGTGTGTGCTGGCGCTCAGTGGCTTCTTCACGTTCACACGTGTCAAGGAAGAAAGGAAGCAGAGCTTAAAGGTAAACAAACGGCGGTTTATCATAAGAATTTTTATCGATAATT